CCAGGTCCACCACGATCGCCACTTTTCAATTGGGAGTGAATCGATGTCAATCTGTTCTAAGAGGGTAGCAAGCTCAGGATGTGCCTCGAACTCTGTTCGGCGAGTTTCGACCTCAATACTGTTAACCCGCATCCCTCGGGCATTCATGTTTTTCAAGGCCTCCCGATAGCAAGTTCGGGCTGTTGCTGGATCAGTTCTGGCCACTCCAACCCCAGTGTCCGTGGGGAACTTGATGCATGAGTGGCGAACAGAGGTTATCGCCTCCAGATCTTCCAATCCCGGTCGGCCCAGAATGACGTTGTGGGCACATTTGATATCCACCACCACGAACGTCATCCAGACCGATGCTTTGTGTGCTTCATCTCCAATCTCAACCATGAACTGGATGGTGCCTTCAGCTTCAATCCAATTCCCCGTGAAGCTCGCGAGCGGTGTCCTCAAGTGAGTCAGTTGGTTTCTCTGTAGGCCCATTTTCTCGAACGATTGTAGATACAATATGTTCACACTACTCCCAGTGTCTACCAACACTCGACGGATTAATTCATTATCTATGCACATGCTTATGATCAATTCGTCCCTATGCGAGCTTGGTGAATTGGGCAAATCCGCAGGTCCAAATGTGATCTGTTCCATTCTGCCTTTCTTTTGGGGTGGCATGGATACGGAGCCCACGTAGAGGCTCCGTTCGAATTTCTTCCGTTCGGCTTTCGAGTCACCTGTCTCCCCACCCCCAAATATAACCTTTACCTCCATGCGGGGCTTTTTGCCCAGGTTCCCCGAACCTTCTGATTCATCCGTGGGAGGAATATACACATCATTCCTAGGCCGAGCATCACGCTGAGCATCCAGTCTCCAGCTGTTGGGTTTTTTGATCGGCTTTAGAATGCCTACAGCATTCGGGTCTTTATTCACATATTTGCCCAGATGACCCCGCTGGATCAATTCCTCAATCTTTATCTGTAATATCCGACAGGAATGGGTGGAGTGACCTTTCCTGTTGTGGTATTTAGAAAAGGCATTTTCATCTGCCCCCATGTAATTCTTGGAATCAGTTGGAAGGGGAATGTTGTCCCTCTCGTTCTGATAAATGGTCGCAACAGACAGTACCAGAGGGGTGAATCGTGGCTTCGGAGGGGGTGCGGCCGCCGGGATAGGACCCAGCCGATCGGCCAATCTTGTAGGGGCAGAGGGTGTAGCTACCCTATCCCTGATCATGATTTCCTCCTCCAGAGCCGCATGCTTTCAGGACCTATCCAGCACTTCGAAATATATAATGCCCGAATTCTTTTTTAAGTCTTTATACAGTTCACCCGTCCGGAGAGCATTAGTGAATAGGGTGATAGCTGTATCATCCGTCATGTTCCCAACTTTTAGGGTTTCATCCCTCCATCGTTTCAGGAATTGATTCAGGGTCTCCTTTGGCTCCTGCTTGACACTGGTCAGGTAACTGAAATGACGTTTCGGAGTGGTACTGGAGGCAAACTAGGCCAGGAATAAAGATGATAATCCGGCAAAGTTGCTGATCGATCCTGGTTGCAGAGTCCCGAACCATTCCAAGGCGGGTCCCCTGAGTGTGCTGAAGAAAAGCCGGGAAATAGCCGCCTCTGTTGCTCCCAACAGCATGAGCCCCATCATATTTATCTGACCGGTCGGCGGTTTGGCATCTATGTGGATTTCAGCATCCATTATTTCCCGGGTGAAGGGGGAAGAGATCCCAACTCGCACCAGGGTACGTTGTAGAGGTGCCCTGTTCATTTGGTCCCTCACTTCGTTCATCTGCCTCCTCATTCCGGCCATCTCTTCCTCCTGGGCCGTAAGGGGAGGTGGTGGTGGAGTTCCAAGATTAACAAATTCCCGAGATCCTTCTGGTGGGGTTGCTCTCTGATTCTGACATCCCTGTCTGGATCGGGTGTTATCATGTTCATAACGGAAATGGCGCCCAACCGGCGTATCTCCTCTAGCTCGTGACCCGGTCGGGGTGTGGTCACTGGGAGTGTGATGCCTACCCCCAGACGTATGATCCCTTCTGTACTCTCCCCGGTGTGCTCGGGAATGATTTGAAGCCGTGGTGCTTTCTGTATCGGTAGTTTCCTCTTGGAATGATTGCATCGTGGATGGGATCGTGTATCTGGTTTCCCCGGTATAGCTGGACCGTCCCCCATCCTGCTCATCCGCCAGGTGCTGCATCACCTGAGCTAAATCTCGCATCGCGTGAGGATTCCTCCTCAATGCTTCGGGGATGAAGAAATCCCCATCATAGTGCGGGTAGGATCCCCGGCTGGATTGCCCTTGGGGTCCAGCTCTCCTCGCGTCTTCCTGAGGTTTCACCGGTGTGATGAGAAGTGATTCTGACCATTTTGATAATAAGTTTTTTTAGGTGAGTGATTGGTGTGAAACTTTTTGTTTGTTTCCCACAGATGGTGTCAATGATGAGGTTAAGTCTCGCAGATCCAAAAGCCCAGCACGAACTTTGCATAATTCAGGAAATGGTCACGAATTCAGTGTATAAGAAAATATAAAAAATGGATAATATACGCTCAGAAGCCCACTTGTATTAGACAATTCGCTGATTACATAATAACTTCCCGAACGGTACGTCGGAATAGTGATTAATACAAGTACAAGAGTAATTAAGCTATTCTAGGCTTTGTGTCTCAAGAGTCTAACCCTTTACAATGAAATTAATCCGTCTATTTATACAAATGGGGGGTATGGGGTACTCCATGCTGATTGGTTGCTGATCCAGCCACTTGAAAGCCCATATTCCCACTTGTTGCCGCCATACACTAGCAATAAATGCTTCCCGCTACTTGCTGGCTGCCCGTTGCCCGAACGGGTAATGGACCCTGCTAGAATTATCATTGATCTGGTCCAAGTACATTGGTTGACTCGAACCCTGTTCGGCACATATTTCTCCCTGGGCCTGTTCAGCTTCTGGATTCCGGGCTATTTATTGGATTGAATATGTTGGGCCTTTGACCTAGGTATTTGGGCCTTCGGCCCAATATCCCAACACATATATAAACACACACACATTCATGAATACAAATATATAATATAATATGTGGGGTCGATCACCTCGTACGTGTACCCATACTCCTAACCCCTACCCTACCCCTATACCTTGTACCCCCACCTTACACACTACACCCAATTCCACACCCTTGACCTCTACCCCTACCATTACCACGATCTTACACTCTACCCATACTCCCCTAAAACCATTCATACCCACCCATACCTACTCGTAGGGATCGGGGTAGGTAAGGAAGGTATGGGTGGGGGTGGGTTAAGGGGTATGGTCGGGTGGGGTGGTAAGGTCTAGGGGTACGGGGTTGGGTGGGGTAGTGGGTGGATTAGGGTGGTTGTTAGGGGTAAGGGTGGGGGTAGTGAGTAGGGTTGGGGTTGGGGTAAGGTAGGGGTAGGGTAGGGAGTTGAGATAGGATGGCGGTAGGGTGGAGCCAGGATCAGGGTGGATCCAAGGTAGAGGAAGGGGTGGGGTGGGGGGTAGGATGGTGGTGGGGGTAGGATGGCAGTAGGGTGAGGGTAGGATGGCGGTACGAGGGTGGGGGTAGGATGGCGGTAAGGTGGGGCCAAGGTAGGGGGCATGTGGGAAGGGGTAAGGTAGGGGTAAGGGGTAATATACGAGGTGGGGGTAGGGTAGGGTGGGTCAGGGTGGGGTTGAGGTGGTAAGGGGTGGCAGTAGGGTAGGGTGGATCGGGATGGGACGGAGGTAAGGGCATGTGGTAGGGGTGGGGTAGGGTCATTGTAGGGAAAAAGAGTATGCGGGGTGGGGGTTGGGTAGGGATAAGAGGTAAGGTACGATGATGGAGGTACTAGAATGGAATCGACATTGGAGCGGGACTGGACCCACCATCAGGTGTAAGTATGCAAATTCATTGCAGCAGCCTGTAGCATCTGCGTTTTCCAAATTTGGAAAACTAGAAAAAGTCACTTCTCCGAATCATTAAGGAAAAGAGAGACATGCCTCATTTTTTCATTTTGGAAAATGGTTTGGTAAACACGTTTTTCTGTTTTCCTTTCTCCAGTTTTCCAGCAATTTTTTTTTGTAAACACGTTTCCTGTTTTCTGTTTTCTAGTTTTCCAGTTTTCTGAAAAACTAGAAAATATCTCTGTTAGTAAAGCCCTTACCACTCTACCAAAACCAAAACGAACAAATAAAAAGTAATCGAGTAATGAAATAGGCAAAATTATAAAAATAAAATAAAAAATAAACTGACGTAATGAAATAATAAAGCAACAAGCCGCCAGTTTAAAGTTATGTCGTGTCGTAGCCCGATTTCATTGGACCTGCATATCTGTTTCAACTATCTGAAAACCAATGATATTTATTAGTCTTAATTTGTACTTAGTAGTTTGATAATAAATTTGCACTACTCTTTCTTCATGTGGTGGTGGTTCTTGAGGAGGGCAGATCAACGATGTCGTCATAGATGAGTTGAGAAGCATAAGAGGATTTGAGAAATCATATCTAAAACTTGATGAATGTCATCGATAGAAATTGAACAATATCATAACACCCTGAAAGCACTTGTATCGTTAATTTGAGAAGAAGTCGCTCATAGAATGACAATATCATAACACCCTGAAAGCACTTGTATCGTTAATTTGAGAAGAAGCCGCTCATAGAATGACAGTCAAAACTGACAGAAGAAGAACTCTATAAATTCTAGGTTATAAAAACACCACTCATAGAGGCCACTTTTTCAATTAGGTATAAACTTTACTCGAGGAGCAAATCCCCTCCGACTTGCAAACTTAGTGAAACAAAACTCTAGCCAAAAAGCCAAGGAAAATGTTGGATGCGAGGCTCTTCCCGCCCTTTAACGCTACTTGAGACAGAAAAGAAAGAGGAAAGTCCACAACGCCGCCTCCTCCTAACTCTAGAGTCGGAATCGTTGGAATAGAAGGTGTGTTATTTAGTGGGTTCGATATTAACGATCTAACGGTTTAATTGTACTCATGTCCTTAGTTAATTGCCTACTTTCTTCAACCAACGTCCAACTAATCATGTTTTTTGTGGAACACCGAGGCTAACAACACAAAACTACACTTCTAACTTCCAAGTACAGGCGAATCAACATTTTTCTTGCAATAGTTGTAATCATTCATACAGCAATTACTCCTATATATTTACAGAATTAATTAAATACATAGATGCTGTCTGAAATCCAAAATGAAACTATAGGGTTCTCGGCTGAATAGAGACACATACTTACCCAGATAGCACTAAAGAAACCCAGGCTTTTGATCGGAACTATCTTCCCAAGAGCTCCCACCCAAAATTCCACCAAATGAAGAAGAAGCCATGCTAAAGTGATCTCTACCGTTCATCGAACTCAGCAGCACGGGATATTCGTCCGATGACGTATGGTTGCCCCCCAATCCAAGAAAATCCAAAGTTGGGGGATTGGACCCGTAGACCATTGAAGGAGATGAGTGAAGCCCGAGACTTAATCCCGGCAGCTTCTTCTCTCTATTTTCAACAGAATCATCACTTGACATGGTTAACCCAAGGCCTTGAAGAAAAGAAGTGGACGACTTTGAACCTATCTGTGCTGCTTTCTGAAGTAAAGCAGTTGCCGACAGTGGGGGGCTCGGTGTGCATTGCTGCTGCTGATGGTTGTTATGGTCATACATAAACAGAGATGCAGAATTGGTTGAGGAATATAGAGGAGCAGTTGTTGATAATGAAAGTGACATCATCGATGACTGTGCAATAAAACCAGCAAATGCCGCCACGTCACCCTCACATTCCTTAATGGCCGGTTTTGTCGAGTTTGCCTCTTCTGGGTTATGCACCACTAATCCAAACACACGTGAAATATCCTTGCGGTTATTATCACCATCAAGACTAAGAGATGATGATACCTGGCCCGGAGCACTCTCATTGATGGCCCCGGCTAAAACAACATCACTGTTCCAGTTGAGGTTACAGCTACTGGTTGAGGAACCTCCTCTTTGTGGAGCTTCATTCTTTTTTTGATGAGAATATACACTTTGGTTTTCAGGCAATTCTGTCCCCCCTCAACATAACATAAAAAAAGAGTCTTCAAACATAATAGTCAAGAAAGACTTGATGCAATCATGATACTGGTAAATTACAATGCTCTCTCAGTGTTTTAACTTTTACTCATCCACGCATCCAAAATCTACATTATTACTTTAATAGATAGGCCTTTATAGGTCTATACAAAAAAACAAATCGCAAGTATGCAACTACAAAAGTAAATATAATCATGACTCATAAAATTTACACCCAGAAAAGAAAGTTTTCGCCAAACCTTCCATGTGCTCTATCGGGTCGGGACGTGGGGGCCTAGGGGTTGGAGATTCAACCTTTTGGACAAATAAATAGAATGTAGAAGCGCAAGAGAAACATTTCATCGATGTAAATTTTTATTGTAAAAAGTTACCCCCATTAAAGAAAGTTTTCGCCAAACTTGGAGTAGGTTATGGCCAGGATCCCCCCCCCCCCCCTCCATCAACATTCTATCTACACATAGGTGATAGGCTAGATAGATCATAGATCCAAACCAATAGCCAAGGTATACTAGCTAGGCTCCAATGATATTCCTAGCATCTATTGCTTTTCAAAACATTGACCTTACTGTAAGGAGTGGTCTAAAAACTCGAGCAGGCATATGTCGTGCATGTCAAATGTGGCCCTTTGGAATAAAGCATTAGTAACGTATAGTTTTAGAACATTTTGGCCAGAAAGTGGAAACATATAGGGAAATGAATATTATTGTTTGGTGTAAGAATGTACAGAGTAAGAAAGAAAGAACTCGATTCTATTGATTGGATGATTAGTGGTGAATAAAATTATCAACCATAAGGAATTAGTTCTATAAGAGTACAGATTGCATGCATCGCTTACCATTCTATAAATGGGTATATATTTTTGAATACTATCTCGGTCATATGTCCCCTTATCCTCCCTCATATGGCGGGATAATCATTCTATGATGGTTTGTTTAATTTATTCCCCTAAGGAATTAATTGATTGGAATATGTAATGACATTAACCAAACAAATAAGCGTTATTTATTTATCGGAATATGCAAAGATGAAATTAAATTCTCACACCAACCAAATTATTTGGTTCTGTAGAGGGTTTCAAATTGATCTGTGTAGATCTACCCATTCATTAAATGCATATGGGCATGTGACAAACGATATCTGTACAAGTATCGACAAGGAATTTTATATTTTGTTTCCATGAAATGATTATTTAATGCCCACCAGTCAATTCTAGCACTACATGCGAATGTGATTAAGTTTGTCACTTTTTCTTTTAATAACCAAAATTGTAGTTCATGTTAAGTTGTTATTTCTATTTACGGAGTATTTTTTAGTACAAATAATTTGTGATTCTTATTATTTCAAATATAGGGAATATATTTTTAGTAGTACTCCCTCTGTCCCGTTGGAATGTTTCCGGTTTGATCTACACACATATTAAAGAAATAAACTTACCAGGAGGTAAATTTTACTGTTTTGACACTGTTTCGACACTGTTTGACACTGTTTCGACACTGTTTGACACTGTTTCGACACTGTTTGACCCTGTTTTAATGTATGATAACTTTTCATTTAGGGAAATGAGAACTTTCTAAGAGACATCCAAAAAAGGAAAGCGAGAACATTAAGTACTAATTTTTATTGTGCACCATAGTCAAACTTAACAGTAAAAGTCAAAAAAGTGTATCATGCTAGTCACTTTTTCATTTTTCAGTGAGAACACAAAGGGCGACCCAATGGAGAAATGTGAAGAATAAAACAAAGACCAATGTCACATGAAACTACCCGCACAAACTTCACTACTGCAGTATAACATTTTCAAAGATTCAAAAAGCAAGAATTTTAATGTAATTTATTACTCCAGTAGTATTATTATATTCATAATTATAAAATATTTAAAACAATAAAGCCCTAATTTATCTTTTTAAATTACTCACCTGAGCTCTGAATGGAGAGAACAGGAGACAAGACCGCAGTAGAAGGAGTCACAGGTTGTGGTGGCGGGCTCAGAGAAGATGAACACAACTTCGGGTTTACCGCGGCGGCGGCCACCGTCAAACCCCCCGGAGAAGACCTCGCACTCTCTTGTGCCAGCGCATCGCAAAATGCCCTATGCGTTATGAAGCTGTCCCTCCTTCATCACTCAAAATTCACCCCAAAAGTTATTGCTCCATCATTCTTGAAAAGTTAATCAAAAGTGATCATAATAAGAGCTTAACGTACGAGCATTTAATTTACCTAGAAAACACTGTTCCACAGTCGCAGGGGTATTCTCGGGTGCCGCACACCTTCATGTGGGCTTTCCAATCGCACAGAACGGCGTAGCTCTTGTTGCACCTTTCACACTTGAACTTCTTCTCGCCGTGCTTCCGGCAAAAATGTTTCTTAATTCCGGTGAGGTCGCCGAGAGCTCTGGACGGGTCGTGATGAGCGCAGTTCGGCTCCGGACACACGTACACTCGCTTCCTAAGCTCATTTCCGGCCGGTCGCTGCTTGAGTTTCCACGGCAGGTTGTGGCCGCGCCGGTGAAGCTGCAAATTCTGGTCTCTCTGAAATCCTTTGCCGCAGATATCACACACGTACTTGTTCGTCTCCATCAACGATTTCGGCGACAAAGCTACCACTTCCGCATCTGGATCTAGATAGCACCCGCAATAATTATTTCATTAATTTGACAAATCGCGTTTCATTAATTTTTAACTCGATTAATGGGATGCAAAGTAAAATAGAGCTCGAGAATCTACCTGGCATTCCAGGAAGGTTTCTCTTTCTCTTAGGCCGAACAGCAGGCTCACTCTGTTGACTGAATTCTCCGCCTGCCGAATGACTCGCCATCGAAAAGCTCAAATAATTTCTCCCCAATAACAATCCGTACAAAATCAAAAGCTACCTTTCCTCTGAGCAGTCGGATGTCTGCCACGCAGAAACAGTTTCAGAGACTGTAAAGAGAGAAATAAAGTCGGCAGAGACTTAAATTTTTCCGGCAGCCGTTGAAAACTGTTTTTTTTTCCTCCTCTATTTCCCACGTGATCACTTTACGGGACAAGTAAATGAAAAACTAATCCAATCTAATCTCGGAACAAGCAATGAGAGAAGAACAAGGAGAAGAGACTCAGTGAGTCAACCGCAGCAACTCGATTTCTGGCGGCGGACTGGCGGTGGTAGTAGAGAGAGAGTAGATAGAGAGAGAAATAGGCTGGGGAATTGAAGAAGGTGGAAATGTGTAAAGAATTGCTTTCTTTTCTTCAACCATGGTTAAGTTAAAGGGGCGACCAGGGTTATAGGAGTTTCAGGTTCTTCGCCACCAAGATAAATGCGGCCGCGTGGAAATCGGACGGTCGGAATTGCATGATCGGGGGTCGTGGCATTTTATGGTTTTCAGGTGAGCAATTATTTGCATTAATTAACTTATACGGAGTAACTGTAATTTGTTTTTGTGAAGAAAAAAGAAATAGAGGAAAACTTTAGTTAGTGACAAAGCACGGAAGAGCTTACCTCCTTCACGCAGCCTACAAAGCCTACGCGTACGTTATATTTGGAGGTGCGTGGGAAGGCACGGATTTTGGAGAAATAACAGGAATGCCACTTATAAGAATGCCGGGGTGGAAGGCATTAGGCATGGACGGATCAGCAAACTAATTGTGTGAGTGAACTTTTTTCTACATGCATATCAAACATGAAAGATGATTTTCTGAAAGAGAATTCTACGGTACCCTTGAAGTATAGTAGTTTTTATCGAATGAATCAATTAGAATGTTAAAATTGAACTATGTAAATCTAAATTTGAAATGATTGAATGATATGGATCAATCAAGTGACTAGCAGGTATGATACTTTGTTTTTAAATGAGTATCGTAGTTGTCACATTTCGAAAATTATATTATGTGTTGAGGTTAAGTCTCGTAGATCCGAAAGTCCAACACACGCTTTGGATATTTAAAGATGTGGATAATAACTCGAGGGTATAAGAAAATATAAAAGCTGAATAATAATACGCTCAAGAGCCCATTTGTATTACACAATTCGCTGAATATACAGGAAACTTCCTGAACGGTACGTCGGAATAGTGATTAATACAAGAACAAGAGTAATAAAGATATTCTAGGCCTTGAGTATCAAAATGCTAACCCTTTGCAATGATATTAATCCCTCTATTTATATTAATGGGGGGTATAGGGTGCTCCATCCTGATTGGTTGTTAATCCAGCCACTTGAACGCCCACGCTCCCATTTGTTGATGTCATACTCTAGCATTTAATGCATCTTACCACTTGCAAGTTGTCTGTTGCCCGAACAGAGTCATGGACCAGGCTGGAAACATCATTGATCTGGCCCAAAGTACCCTGGTTGACCTGATTCCCGTTCGGGGCGTATACCTCACTGGGCCATTCTTCGTCTGGATTCCGTGTTAATTATTGGACTGGATGTGTCAAATGGTAGTGAGTGCATAAGGAAGTAGAAATTTTACACCGATTGTCGATCAGGATATAGATCTCATCGGTTCCCGGTGTCCTGATGTTACGGCCTACTTGTGGCTGTCGTTTCCGTTTTCCATAATCGTCATGATTATTGTCCTTTGTTTTCCTGTGTGACACATGTTTCCTCAAACGCTCCTGGTGACGTGTCTTTATCTGGTTGGTCGACGAAACGGCGTTGGTCAAGCTATAAATAGGCATTAGTTCCTTGGTTATGGGTTTCAAATTCTCATTTCCTCCGTGCTTTAGCTCTGCCTTCTCTCTAGGACTCAACAATTTTTCGAGTGTTCAGGTACTTTCTACCCCCTCCCCTTTTGTTTCTTTCACTTCGCGTTCGGTACATCATGTCTTCTCGACCATCTTCTTCCGGCTCGGATTCGAGGCCCACTTCTCGAGGGGAAATCCATGACGCCGCTATACTGGATGCCATAGAAGTCCCTTTTGCTGATGTCGCCAGTAATGCGACTGCGGGGGCGGCTGAGGAATGTTCCTCAGGTGAGTCTAACCCTTGCGGTGAGGATTCTGATGGCACATGTCTGGCGATGAGCTTGCTTCAATGGCGGTTGGTCCTCCGGGCGATGTCCCTCGCTATAGGGTGGATTTAAGGTTAATGAGGGAGAGGAGAAAGAAATTGGCTTCTCACAATACGGCTCAAATTAAAAATAAGATGATTGAAATGAATCAAATTAAAATTAAGTGACCAAATTGAAACTCCCTAAAAGTTAAGTGATTATCCAAATTTATCTCTTCCTTTATCCCAAAATTATCTTCCAACTTTTTTTCCATCCGCCCTAAAATAATACTCCATATTCTCTTTCCTTATACTACCTTCATCCCTTAATTAAAGTCACAGTTTGACTCTTTGACCGTTCATTATTCAAAATTAATAATATTTTATCCCAAAAAACAATAATTAATGTGCTTCATTGTAATATGTATTATTCAAATGTCAATTTATTATAGATTTTATAGGTATATATTAGTAGATAATTACCGTCAAACGTCCGGCTAGGAGATCGCAAAAGTCAAACTGTGACTTTAATTGTAGGACGAAGAGAGTACATTCTAACACATTTATCTTTTTTCTGTACAATTTCCCACCACACGATTTTTACTTTTTAGTCTACGGCATGAATACTTTTTGTACTTTATTGATAAAATATATTCTGTATTTTGATATGGGGGGTGTTTGGTAAACGGCGTTTCAGCCGAAAAATGGCGGTTTGACCACTTTTAACGTTTTCTATAAGTGAAAAAGATGTTTGGTAAATAGTGTTCGACACTAACGTTTTTGGACGGAAACGCTGAAATGAAAACACTGCTAATAGAAGAGTTTTGGGTTGGCGTTTGAAAATGGCATTTTCTACTAATTTTATGACCACCCAGCTAAATTACCAAACATCTTTTGACAACCCGCCAATTTCCGCTAGTCAAACCCTTTGACCGAATCCGTTATTGACAAACTGCTAACATAACATGTTATCCGCTAACCGCTGAATGCCAAACACGTCCACACTCTTTTCTATAATTCAATAGATTCATTTCTCGGATCAAGCGGTCTCCCTCTTTAGGGTTCTTGCATATTGGGAGTAGTTTTTACCATCGTGGGTGCATATTGTTTCTTCAATTTCAATTTTTAATTTCTTAATTTCAGTAATTAGATGGTTGTTATGAAATCCCTCAGGAGTAGTACCGTCGACAGGCGCTACAGAATAGGGAGAATAGGGACAAAGGTTTAGTTTTCATAGCCACAGTTGGATTGGGTGATGTCCATGGAAAATCTCCTAGTTTTCGGCGACCTTCGATCACAACGAAGGCAGGGAAGCAAGTTGGGATCGGAGGTCCGACAATGGCATGCCACGAGGGGTGAGTGCAGCGGCGGCAGATTGGAGCGTGAGAAAGAGGCTCAAGTGGCCGCACACATGATCACTCCAGATGAGCCACAAAACGGGGAGGAGTCGAGCACTGACTACCACGCCCGCTCGGGTCTTTGAGGAGGTTGTACCTCAAGGGTACATGATCAGGGTTCTCGTGACTATGAGGAGATAACTTTATTTAAATTATTGGGAAAACTGTCAATTTGGTCCTCATACTTTCATGAAAGGGTCAATTAAGTCTTCATACTTTTAAAAATATCAATCAAATCCTTGAACTTTGTAAAAACGTTTAATTGAGTCCATTTGCAAGTTACTTGTCATGTAAGCAGGTCACCCGCTAATGTGACGCACATGTGGCAGCCCAATCAGCAATAATTTTGCTGACGTGGCACCCATGTGGAAGTACAGTCAGCCATTTGCTGATGACGTGGTGCACACGTGGACCACAATGTGTCACCACATCAACGGGTGACTTGCTGACATGGCAAGTAATCTGCAAATGTACTCAATTAAACGTTTTTACAAAGTTCAGAGATTTGAGTGGTTTTTTTAAAAGCATGAGGACCTAATTGACTTTTTCATGAAAGTATGAGGACCAATTTGACATTCATTTTCCCCTAAATTATTTTGCTTTGTTTTCATCTTATTTCGGATTGGATGTTGTTTTGATTGTATTTTTGTCTCGTACTAGCAGAACTCTAGAATGTAGGATGAGTGATGACAGGACTGGTTCATCCATCATTAGCTTGGTTAAGCTCATTATAGGATTAAAGAGTCATATTGCTTTATTAGAGTTGTTTGATTCTAAATCTGTTTCGAAGACAGACAATTGAAAAAGATTTTTTTGTCTTTTGTAACTTGCGTGAAATCTGATTATTCGACATAAACCACCTTATTCAATTATTCCATAAAAAAAATCAATAAATTTATTTAATTCAACACGTGAATCAAAATTCCACTAATTTGAAGCTGATTATGAAGGATCAGGCATCTCTGCCTTAGTTAAGCAGCCAAGGAGGGTGCCTGGCTGTTTTCCTCCGTCAGATCGGAAATTCGACGGATGAAGATCTTGGATTTCACCCCTTTGCCGATCTCGAGATCCTGCTCGTAGCTTCCCTGCCGTCGGATGCCGCAAGCCCGCAAGGCACTCTACCTCTGCCAATTATTATAGGATGAGGTTAGCATTGTTCGTCCATCATTAATTACAATAATACTGGCACATGTTTTGGGGAGGTACCAGCGCTGAACCCGCCACGGGTTCGGCCGTGGTGGTGGGATAAGGGGAGTTGTGGGGAAAGGACCGGCAATTAGGCGCGCAGAATTGTCGGCTAGTGGGTTCGCTCACGTGTACCAGCGTTGAAACTTCTTGTATTTTTCCACACTGCAATGGAAACCAGCTGTATTTTCATCCCTTCTCTTATCTTCCTAATAACTCACAAATAATCGTCAGGTCTTTTCCAAATTATTACGATTATCAAATTAAATTAACAGATTCTTTGATGTGACTGACAACTTTCATCAATTTTGTACCATAAATTAAGACATAATTATCCGTATTTAGATAATTTATACGGAGTACGTAGTTTTAAAATATAAAAATTGTCTCTATATAGATAATTTTATCTCTGTGGACAAACAAAGGATGTCAAAAATGTCTATAAAATGGTGTACCTCAAACACCATATTAATTTCACAATCAGATTTATTTTGTGAGTTGCTCATTTATGTGTATAAGCTTTCATATTATAGTTCACAACTTTTTATTTTAGAATTTATTGAAAACATTAGATTACCTACAATTGTGCTTTATATTTTAAATTCATATATTAAACATTTGGTTTTTTGTTGTTAGATCATATATGAATTTATATCGTAATGAATGTTATATCTTACATTCATTATTATTTGGATTCTCGAAAGATCACTAAGTTTTTATAATAAGAAGACAAAACTGAAACAACTAATATTTACTGCCCCATTGTTTAGGTTGAAATTAGCTGAATCGATTGAATCTGGTGAAAATGATGAAATGTTTGTGAAAATTTTATATTTAAAAGATTATCAATACAATAAAAAAAGCTATATGAAAATAGCCTAAATAATAAAGATGAGAGACTTTAAGCTAACAATAATAGAGCAGGTTTGGTGACTCTGTTTTTCGGTATATCAGACAACTTTTTAATCAAACACGTAATTTTTGATTTCGTGACCTGAATTTGTGTAATAATAAGAAAAAGTAAGGTTAGAGTTACTTTTCTGCCTGTATTGACTGGAATTACTGTAGATGATCATTTTAGCTATTTTTCATATAATTTTTTCTTTATTTTATTAATAAAATATATTTTAAATGTAATTTTTTCATAAATCAGCAGAATCAGTCGATACAGCCACTTCAACCAGAACTTCAGAAATTTCAGCAGAATCAGCTGATTCAAGCAATTTCAGTGTTAGTAAATGGGCTCCAAAAGACTGAGATAAGAGAGTTGTGATGTAGAATGTTGATTTTTTTTAGAGGAAAATAGGTATTTCGATAGTTGAAGTGTGAAAAACGAGAAAAATGATGAATATTTATAGTTCTCTAGTCTTCTAGAGTTGTTTCAGCCAATTTAGTTAGATAATACTCCCTCCGTCCCCCTCTTATTGTCTCATTTCCTATTCACTTGGTCAACACAAATCACTCTTAATCTCTTATTTTATGTATCAAATTTTTATCAAATTTGATTCTGGTTTTTGCGACTTTGTAAATCTTTTAATATAGTTTTTGAATATGTAATTTTTTTTTTGCTAAAAATAATTTGAGTGCGGACAGGGATCAGTTTGCTTTATCGTCAGTCAAGCATCGTAAACCGCAATGGGACAATAACAGAGAGACGGAGGGAGTAAATGACATTAATAGAATGCATTTCTGAGTACTTATCACCCAATAGCGGCGCCCTAAACCCTAGCAGCGTTCTGGGTCGACCGAATTGAGCGGCTTCTCAAGGGCGATTGAGAACGGCGACTGCGATGGCTCTCTTAGGGTGATGATGTGATTATTTCTCTGCTGCCAGGCTTTTTCTTTTTTCATCTTTTGCTTTGATTCGATCGAATTGATTCTGTGTCCTTTCTCTAGGCGTGTGTCCCGCGTTTTGTTTCGACTTTTGAGTGGCCGAGGCTATGTGGTGTCAATTTTGCTTTGGGTACACACTTTTCATACACACACATACACACTATAAATAGCCTAATAAATTACCATTTTTTTTACCCCCTTCCCTCTCTCACGTGCGAAACAGCACACTCACCCCCAGACTCTCCCCTCACTTGCTGCTTCCTTCTTTCTTTCTTCTTCCCGCAGCAGCTCAAGGCATACAACCCCCATCTTTGTTTCTTTCTTCATCTCTTCAAAATCAATGGATTTTGGTGGCTTTGTGAACGAAACGATCATTGACACTACGGTGGATGATTTTTGGTGGCTTTGCGGCGGCAGAACTTGACGGAGAACCAGCGGCGGTGGCTGAACTTGACAGAGAACCGGCGGCGGCGGCTGAACTTGACGGAGAACCGGCGGCGGCGGCTGAACTTGACGGAGAACCGGCGGCGGCGGCTGAACTTGACGGAGAACCGGCGGCGGCGGCTGAATTTGATGGAGAACCGGCGGCGGCGGCCATGGATGAAATCTCTAAGCTTGGTATGGGTTTGTGTTGTTGATTTCATTGGCTTTCAACTTAAATATATCTTTGTTCTTCACAGACAATTCTCTGTATTTGTGTAGTGTATAATATCGTCTGTGTGTTTGTGAAGTGTATATAATCTTGTTTGTGTTCAAAATGTTATAAAATTTACTTATGTCTGTGTGTAAATAAACTTATATTTGAAATGTCTGTGTGTAAATATACTTGTGTCTGTGGGTATATGTACTTATGTATGTGCGTAAATCTACCACTGACTCAGCGTAAATGTATTTATATTTGAAATGCGTAAATTTACTTATGGTTCATGCGAAATGCGTAAATAAAGATTCACTTCATTATAATCTTTATTGTGTTCTAAGTTTGTTTTACATTGTAAAGATTCACATTTCAGTTGAATTTGTGTTCAACTATTCTATTTCATTATTATGCTTATAAGGTGTTTGTTGAAATGCTTCAATGATCTTCTTTATTCATATTCACGATTTTGTGAGTTGATTCTCCCTTTTTGCTAATATGTTTTTATGCTTGATGGAGTTTACTAATTTTTACACTTTAAATTGGGTTGTCAATGAATTTAAATGGTCTTGATAGGTTTTTTAGAAGCATGGATCAAGATACTGAGTGTGGTCAATGCTTTAATGAGTTAATGCTTAAGTTTCAATCTTCGTAACACATTGTTCTTTTTTCATGCTTAAAATGATGTGTGTGCAATAAGCAGCAGGGTTGTGTGCAAAAAGTGCAGTTAGCAGCCTTGCAGGATGGGAAGACAGAGCTCTTGGTTGCAGGGCACTTCTTGCTTGCGGCAGTAGGAAAGAAAACACTCAGCAGGAGAAAAATGTACATTTTGGGAGTGAAAAAAAAATGCTAGGAAAGGAGCTCTTGGCCACAACAAATCGGAAGAAAAAAATCATAGCTTGTTATTATGTTGAATGAATATATTTGAATTATAAATATCCATGTATTACTTTAGTTCCTCCATGGATGGGAATTATGAAAGTTAATACTATTTCTTATGTTTGATTCTCTTTTATGACATTATGAAAACACAAGTAATGCTTTAATCACGCACATATACATAGCACAGACATATATGCCACACATCACAAACATAGTGTTTGTTCTTCACAGACACACAATGTGTTTGTGACAGATATTATAGTGTACATAGCACAGACAAATACGACACACCTCACAGACAGAGTTTTTCTGCTTCACAGACACGCAATGTGTTTGTGACAGATATTATAGTGTACTTTAACAATTTTTTGAAATGTTTATTCTCAAAAAGTCTTTTATTCAAACTAAGTCCTAGCAGATACATAGCACAGACAAATACGGCACACATCACAGATAGAGTGTTTGTTCTTCACAGACACACAATGTGTTTGTGACGGATATTATAGGTGTACATAGCACAAACAAATACGCCACACATCACAGACATAGTTTTTGTTCTTCACAGACACGCAATGTGTATGTGACATATATTATAGTGTACATAGCACAGACAAAGTGGATACAAATCACAGACAAAAAAGCTTTCTCCGTTTATATGAACACCAATGACAGTTAGTGTTTCTCACACAAACAAAAAGGCATACTAATGTACAACATTGGTAATATTTGGGAGTACATTCTAAGACAGTATACAACATTGTTATTGTAACATTGTACAACATCCTACATTTCACAACCAAACCCATGAAGGCCAAAACTAACCACCACAAAATGTATATAGTAAGGTTACATCAATGATTGTATATCCAAACCCATCATACACTAAACATTCACACCCATTAAAACTTGTCTAAGTTGATCGCTTCCTCAAACTCCAGAGCCTCTTTGCAAATTCACATCTTTTCGCTGCCATGTTCTTATACGCACACTCGGGCATCAAGGGCAACTTCTGCAACAGTGACTCTGCAAATGTTGCCGCCATAACTCCGCAAACATCGGATCTGAAAATAATACAATTCATACAGACATTACATTTCTATATACAGACAAATTGTATTTGTGTACAGACAAAAAACGAGATCTATTTGATGACCCGAAACATAAGTGGAAATCTGATACACAATGTGTTCTAATTATATTTTAAGTAGGGAATTCATTTTTAAAATTTTCTTTCAACAATCCGTATTATTTTAATGTACCTAAGGTCCAAATTAACCAAGGTATTTTAAGTAATTTCTGAAAGTCCTAGACATTTGTTCATTTGAACCTGTTTGAGTCTTATAGCGTTGTGTAGAAGTACAAACATCATATTAGTCACACAAACATATGTAGAGTGATACAGACAATCATATAAGTCTTCACAGACAAATGGAGCCAGAGCCAATTACATAAAACCTCACACAGACAAACACTTGGACAAATCTAACTTTACACAGACAATACATATGTCTTTCAACAGGCATAAAATCAACCTTACACAGACAATACATATTGTTCAAAATCCAAGCAATAGATGGGTTCCAACTTGATAACTTGATAAACAATTACTCACCCTACAAATAAACATCATCAACTACCCTAAAACTGAAAAAAATTCAAAAATACATGATACATACCTTTCGGCCATGCTCGAAAGAGGGGTTCACACCATTTTCGACTGAGATGGGGAGGAGGGTTCGCACCTTTGAATGCGCAACGACGACGGTCACCTTCGACAGGGGTTGGCAGGGAGGAGGGTTGCCTTCGACGGGGTCTGACGGGGTTGAATCGTGGAGGGTTGCCTTCGATGGGGGTTGCAGGGGAGGAGGCTAGTCTTCGACTGGGGTTGTCGGGGACGAGGCCTTCGATGGGGGGTTGCAGAGGAGGAGGCTATTCGGGTGTTGGCGGCGACGAAGAGCTTCCAGCGATGCGATTAATCGGAAGAACAAAGCAAGGGAGAAGGAGAAGGTTGTGGCGGTTCGAAGGAAGGGAGAAGTTGGGGATGCACGACAAAATTGGGAGCGGGGTGTTTTTTTGAAGTGGTGAGAGGTAAGGGAAAGGGGGGGGGTAAATTATTTTTGTGGGTATTTATAGTGTGTATGTGTGTGTATGGAAAGTGTGTAACAATAGCATTTTTGATGTGGTGTTGCTGCTATTCTGACCAACTCTCAAGAATAATTATTTGGGCCTATTCTTATTGGGCTAATAAACTGTAATGAACTGTATATATTTTAGCCTGTTAGAGTCTTTTAGCCCTTTAGTATAAATAGGCTTCTTTAACCTACTGTATCAAATAATTAATCTTTTCTTCTTCTTCGAACAATTCGTTCATCTTCCGCAATTTCTTCATCTCTGCAATTCGTTTCACTTCTACATGGTATCAGACTAAGGATCGATCCTGATTCTTCTCTAATCGATTCCTCACAATCGATTTCATATTTCCTAATCGATTTCTATAATCGATCTCTCCCTATTCCTTTCAATCTATCATCTGCAAAACCCTAAATACTATGGCTTCAATGCTAAATCCGACGGAAGACTCATCATCACCGTACTATCTTCATCCTAGCTATCACGCTGGGCTTCGAGTCATCTATGAAACACTCATAGGCGACAACTTTGGTGCATGGAAGAAATCTGTTTCCATGGCTATGGCGGTGAAGAACAAGATGGGATTTCTCAATGGATCCGTCACAAAACCAGGTCCAGATACTCCTATGTACATCAACTGGTATCGTATCAACGCTCTGCTCTTATCTTGGCTGATATATTCTATTTCACCTGCTCTTCGCACTACTTTCTTATCTTTTAATGATGCTAAAGAGCTTTGGGATGAAGTTCAGCTTAGGTATGGAAAAATTGATGCTCCTAGACTTTTTCATCTTGAAAAAACCCTAGGAAATCTTTTTTAAGGTTCTCGTAGTATAACTGATTACTACAACTGTTTCAAAGAAATTTGGGATGAATACTGTAATTTCAGAAATATTCCTTCCTGTACTTGTGGTCAATGCACTTGCAATATATCTGAAACTTACCAGAAAATTATCCAGAAAGAGTCCATTCTCAAGTTTCTTGTTGGTTTGAATGATTCATATTCTAATCTTAGAAGTCAAATTCTTCTTAACACAGATAAAAATACTCTGTCTAGTATCTACTCTATTCTTCTTCAAGAAGAATCTCAAAGATCTCTTCAGAATACTCTTCCTTTCACTACTCCTTTTTCAGATCCTTCTGTTTCTGAAAAACTCAATGATGCTACTGCTTTCTTTGTTAAAAATTTTAAAAAGAAAACTTCTATTACCTGTACTCATTGTGGCTATCAAGGCCATTCTTCTGATAAATGCTTCCAACTAATTGGTTATCCTAGTAATTGGAAAGGGCCAAAAGGACATAGAACTGCCCCTGGTTTTAAACCTAATCCTAATCTTAATAAAACTCATCATGCTCATATGGCCACTAATTCCACTGAACCTGCTCTAACTCCTACCAATTCAAACAACAACCAACATGCTCCTTTGGTTACAAATTACACTGAATCTGCTCCTATTTCTGCTACAACTGATTTCTGTGATCCCAATTTGTATGAGAAGTTTCTGCAATTTGTTCAAGCTCAACAATCTAAAACTGCTTCAGCTAATGTTGTCACCATTGCTCCTGATGATGATCAAACTGCCTCTTACTGTGACACAAAGTTTTTAGGTAAACACTTTGCTCTTTCAACTTTTAAATCTTCTCAATGGATTCTTGACACTGGAGCATCTGACCATATGGTTTATGATGCTTCTTTATATACCACTCCAACTAAACACATTTCAATTAAAATTCAACTTCCTACTGGCAATTTTATTTCTGCCACTAAAATTGGTGATATCAAATTGAATTCTAATCTTACATTACACAATGTTTTATATGTTCCTAACTTTACCTTCAATCTAATTTCTATTTCAAGTTTAACCTCTCATGATAATGTCTCAGTATATTTCTCCTCTAACCATGCTATCTTGCAGGACCACCTTACCAGCAAAACGATTGGCTTTGCTGATTTAAGGAATGGCCTATACCACTATACTCCAGACTCATCTTTAGATCATCATATTCCAACTGTGCATTCTGCAAATAGTCAACATCATAACTCATCTGCTACTCTTTGGCATTTTAGACTAGGGCATCTGCCTTTTAATAAGATTTACATGCTTTCTGACTGTAATGTTTCTGATAATGACAAACAATCTTTACCTTGTGATATTTGCCATTTTGCTAAACAGAAAAAGCTTCCTTTTCCTATCAGTACTTCTCATGCATCTAATGCTTTTGATTTGATACATATGGATGTTTGGGGTCCTTATAAAGTTACTTCTTATACTGGTTTTAAATATTTTCTAACTATTGTTGATGATTACACTAGATGTACTTGGGTTTTTCTACTTAAAACTAAATCTGAGGTAAAATTTCATATGTTAAATTTCTATACTTTTATTGAAACTCAATTTCAAAAGAAAATTAAAATCATAAGAACTGATAATGGTACTGAATTCTTCTTTCCTGATTTCTATAATTCAAAAGGTATTGTTCATCAACTCTCCTGTGTTGAAACTCCTCAACAAAATGGTAGGGTTGAAAGAAAACATCAACACATTTTACAAATTGCTAGATCTCTTCTTTTTCAATCTTGTTTACCTATAACTTTTTGGTCTGATTGTATACTTACTGCTGTGCATATAATCAACAGATTACCTACTTCTATTCTTCATAACAAATCTCCTTTTGAAATGCTTTATAATCATGCTCCAGATTATAATCACTTAAAAGTTTTTGGTTGTTTGGCTTTTGCTTCAACTATTTCTTCTAATAGAACTAAGTTTGATTCTAGAGCACATAAATGCATTTTCATTGGATATTCTTTAGGTTCTAAAGGATACAAATTATATGATTTAACTACTCATAAGACTTTTATTTCTAGAAATGTTAAGTTTTATGAAATGATTTTTCCATACAAAACTCAACATAATAAAAATAATTTGGATTCTGATTTCACAAACACACAAGATACTATTTTTAATG